CAGTGGCCTGGATCTGAAGTCCTTCTACAGCTGAATTGTGGTTGCTTGCTAGTTCCCACAGTCCTGATGCAATTCCTCCTTCCAACATTGCTGCCACTGGGCTTGCCCTAAGAATACTGCAGCTCAGAGACAAGGGATGGTCAGCAGCCAAACATGGCATTCTCAGTGTCATAGTAATTTAAGGCCAGAGCACAAATCACACTGAAATTCAGTCCCTTTGAGACTCTTACACTATAACCATAATTCCTAGCGAGTAGTTCTGTTTAATGTTCATTTGTTTTTCACCATAGCTTCAGATGCAGGTGTAAGCCCTGGTAAAGAATATTGACATTTGATAGTAAAAGAACATTATGTTTATTACAATTCATTTTCACACCACAAGTTTACTCCAATAGATCTATTTGTGGCTGTGTTCTGAGTGAATCATAACCTTTTAAAAATTAGTGTAATATTAAATTTGTAACTGTACACATAGAAATGGGGACAGTAGTCCCCTCCAAATTCAGAGGGTCATACATGATTAGATGATGATAGATGCGAGGCCCAATTTTGTGGCTTTATCTATTCTTTGTTATCATGAGCACATGCTTAAAAGATATTGTTCATGTCATTAATCTGAAACAAACAAAAAGCTTCCTGAGTAGCAGGTCTTACAAGACCAAACACTTTTCACACCATCTCTGATGCAAACCTCATCCTGCTGCTGTGTAGTTGCTTTAATTCAATATGTTTATGAGTTAATTAAAGTCAGGGATATGAGGGAAATTAGGTGGCATAGGTGGTGCCCAATATGGTCAGGAACTCAGCCCTTTCATTTGAGCTCACCAGGCTTACTTCATCACTTACCTTGAGGGGTTTCCCTACTGTTTGAATACTCATAAAGTGCAGAAGGAGAGATTTTAATATGTGAAATAGTTAGAATTTCAAAAAAGACATTTCCTCCCACCGTCGTAATAGCTCAGCAGCGGCCAACCATTAAAATAGAGTTGGTTAGCAATTTCCAGCTTTGAAAATCTTTATAGCTTTATCTGGAAGGAATCCAAATGATGCCATTAGCTTAAACTAGACTCATCAGTGCACAGTATTCCAGAGATAGGCTGTATGGCATAGCTAACTTTATAGATGCCACAATAGCTAGCTTTATAAATGTATATGTATAACCCTTTCAAGATCACTAGTGCAAAGAAATGGAAAACTGATCATCTTTGCAATTCTGAGGGGGCATCTACACAGCACTCTACCTCAAAATAAGCAATGCAATTTGTGTTGTGCAAATTACATAGCATATTTTGAGGTAATTTCAAAATAGCTTATTTTGAAATTTGGAGCTCTCTACACAGCACCAAATTTTGAAATAAAGCACTATTCCAACAAGCCCCTTAGCCCTCATGGAACAAGAGTTACAGGGACGCCAGAATAGTGCACCCATTATTTCAAAATATATTTCAAAATAACAGGCAGGTTTAAAGATGCGGTGTTGCTATTTCAGGATACTTCCAGTATCTAAAAATACCCCATTGTCAATAGATATAGCCAGAAAGTGTTCTGAATGAAGGGTCAGATATTTAAAAGAATTTACTGCTCATTTTGGCACTTAAATTAAGAGGGCAGATTATCAAGCACAGCACTCCCATCTCTCACTATTCTAGATGTGGGTGCTGCTGAGCTCTCTGACAATCTGGCTTTTCTCTTAGGCTATGTCTAAACTACATTCTTCTTTTGAAAGAGGAATGTAAATGAGGCTGATGGAAAATTCAAATGAAGTGCAGATTTAAAAATCTCGCACTTCATTTGTATAATTGTGAGAGCTCTTTTTCGAAACAGGGTTTCGAGTTCCTGAAAAACTAAGGTGTATGGGTTATTTTGAATTTTTTTGAAAGAATCCCTTCTAGACTATTCCTGTTTTGAAAAAGAGCTCTCACAATTATACAAATGAAGTGCGAGATTTTTAAATCTGCACTTCATTTGAATTTTCCATCAGCCTCATTTACATTTTGAAAGAGGAATGTAGTTTAGATGTGCCCTTAGAAAACAAAGATGAATAAATATATGAATGGAAAACACAAAATGCCTGTTGACATGTTCCAGGTTGTATATTAAGATAGGAGATTTCTCCCCAAATCTTTCAGGAGACCATTTTATGTTCCAAACCACAAGGTTTAATCAGTAATTACTTGGTTATATGTTAATTTATAGATAATTCAAAATAATGTATACTTAAGCCCTTATAAATACATCATTACAAATGGCCAGTCCCAGACATATGACTCCTAACACTCAACATTAGCTTCCATCCCAAATAAAGGCTTTCATCTTGTGTTTAAGGTTGCCATACTTTGGCTATGGGAGGTCTTCAACAGGAGCAAATAAAGATAAGAACAATCCACTGAGAAGTCCTGTTGCCACTTCCCCACATTGCCACCAGAAAGTTCTACTTTGCAGAATAACAGCAACAGAATTCTAGCAGTCTGCAGCTAGCAGAGTAGGCCACTTAGAAAGGCAAAGGTCTCAAATTATTTATCTATCCATATCATTATCTTAACTGGCACAACTGCAAATATTAATAAGGATCCTGTTATAGTTTCAGTCCATTGACAAAAGTTGCCCTTGATGACCATACATTCCTCTTTGCTATACACTATACTAAAATAGGTACTTTAGTTCTTTTTAAATGCTTTACTCTTGTGTTTTGAAACAGACTAAAAGGAATGGATTGTGATTTGTTTTCTATCTCAGTAGAGCTTCTCCTAAACCATTTCCTGGTCTTTGCAGTAGTCTTAGGCTACGTCTAGACTGGCATGATTTTCCTCAAATGCTTTTAACAGAAAAGTTTTCCGTTAAAAGCATTTGCGGAAAAGAGCGTGTAGATTGGCACGGACGCTTTTCCGCAAAAGCACTGGAAAAACTTGCCAGTCTAGACAAAACCTTACTGTTTAAGAAACCAATCATATTGGAAACCTCTCTGGACCTCAATCTTTGCTACGGGAATGGAATAGATATTTTTTAGAAAGAAAGGAAGTGTCCAACCTTGAGGGTATTGAAAGCCATCCTTGGCTGAACATTTGAAAGGGGGAGTGATCATTGATTACTCCTTTTACCAAAAGACAAGGCCACCTACAGCTGAAACATTTGACCCATAGATTTGAGGAACATGACATGATAAGAGTACCAAATTTGGCAGAAGTCATCCATGCTTCAGATTCTCCCATGCTCTCAATTTTAAAAATCTCATTTTTAAAGCCAAACTCATAAAAACATAAGAACGGCCGTACTGGGTCAGACCAAAGGTCCATCTAGCCCAGTATCCTTTCTTCAAACAGTGGCCAATGCCAGATGTCCCAGAGGGAGGGAATACAACAGGTAATCCTCATGTAATCTGTCCCCTGACATCCATTTCCAGCCTCTGACAAAGAGAGCCTAGGGACACAATTCCTACAATCCTGGCTAATATCCATTGATGGGCCTAACCTCCATGACTTTATCTAGTTCTTTTTTCAACTCTGTTAAATTCCAAGTCTTCACAACATCCTCTGCCAAGGAGTTCCACAGGTTGACTCAGAGCTGCAGGAAGAAAAAATTATTTTTGTTTGTTTTAAACCTCCTATCTCATGATGTTTCTGGATTCAACCTAAGATGACTGATATTAGAGCAGTCATCTTATGATAGTTTCATGACTCAACCCAATATACGGTATGTTTCCTCTGATCAGCTGATTCATTTGTGAAATCACTAGCAGGTCTCAGATGGAGGGACCACAGAAGTTTGATAGGAACCAGGGAAGCTGTCTGGTCTTCCCCATAAAGGCTTCTGTATTGTAAGTAATCTCTAAGATGTAAGAGTTAATGCTTGTTATCTATTTCCTACTGTAGCACTGCATTTCACCCAAGTCTCTATTCTCCTCTATTCTCTTTTTTGTTTCTTTGGCTCTTCATCTTCCTCCCCTCCCCCAAAAAATGGCATCTAGTTATCAGGGGATTTTAATTGAAATCTCTGATTTGGACACTTTATGCAAATGCATAGGAAAGAAAAGTGAACCGTTCAAAATGAATGTTCATTTAAACTTTTTGATTTTTCAATCTATTTTAACTGCTTCTTCCCCCCTTTGTGAGCTAATACATTTTAAAGTATTCCTTTTTTTTGTCTAAAAGCTAATTTTAAAAAAATAGGCCAAGTCCCTCTGCACATTCCTGTGAACCCAAAATTAACAGGCTAATGTTGTGACAGTGAACGAGTGATTTAGTAGTCTCTATAAGTCCCTCACTTATCTGGCTTTGATAATCTTATGAGGAATTTTATCTAAATCACTTTAAAAATCCAAATAAATTAGGTCCACTGGGTGTCTGATCTCAACTTTTACAAAGAATTGAAACAGGTTAGAGAGACAAAATTGATCCCTTTCAGAAACTATGCTGGCCTTACACTATTAGATTAGATTTGTTAAGTGTTATACGTGGCTATGGATTTATTATTATTTTTAATTACACTCATAGCTGTCAGTATTTTTAGAATTCTAAATTCCAGCTCCCAAGTTCAGAGAGAGGCATCTAAATAAGTTCTTATGAGATGCTGGCTACTCCGTACTTTTGAAAATCATATTGAGTTTAGAGGCAAATTGTGAATGGGCCTGGCTAGAGGATAGTGCACTAGGAGCTATCTGTCTTCCAAGAGCTACTCATAATTCAAATGTCTGTGCTGAGGAGGAGAGGTTAAGGGAAAGGAGCAGCTAGTACAGCCTACATCACTAACCAGACCTAGACCTAGCATATTATCCTGCTAGGCCTTTATCCTGCTTCCCCTGCTAAACATTTCATGACAACAGAGTTGCATGGGTGGAAACCCTTTAACAATGTTGTCATAACCATGAGGGCTAGCCAGCACTTGGGGACTAAGGGTTAACTATGTCCCCTGTACCTAGCCAGATATTTGATCAGCTAATAACAATGCAGAAAGCGATTTCAAACTGGGACTAAGGAATTTTTAACTTTTCCCTCCTTTGTCAGGGTGGTTTTCTTCCAGATAACAGAGAGATGGAAGGCTGTCTCTCTCTCCAAGAAAAGTCTTTTCACAATATGTAAGGGCCCTGCTCATCTAAACTGAGAACGTAAGTACTGTGTGAGGTGCTCACATTTGAATTTGTTTACAAAGATTTGCCCTTTGTAATGTTTTTGGTCTCACTTGAAAAAGAAATTAAAAAACAACAGGATCAAAATGAGGTTGATCACTGTGCATATAACTAGAACACTAAACCTGCACTTAAGACAAGAGCATCTTCCAGGCAAATACTTTTGGAAAAAAATTGTCCTCATGCTATTGAAATAATCAGAGTCAGGATTTCTTGGCCCAATGGCACAAGTTAAGTTCTAAAGTCCAGGGCTCTCCACTAAAAAAGATTGACTTTTGGCTCCCTAGATATTTTAAAAGGGAGATTCCTAACTCAAGTATCACAGCTGAATTAATCGCCTTGGTAGAGCAGAGACAGAAAGGATGGCTTCACAGATAGTGCCCAAACTATTTAGGGCTTTATAGATCAATATCAGCCAATTGAATAGAGCCTGAACATAGACATGAGCATAAAAGCACGATGTTCTTTGTGGCAGTGCCAAATAAGAAGACTGTTTCAGTCTGAGTGGTTTTCAAGAGTTGATTAAAAGAAGCATACCCATTAGAGAGGTGACCAAAAGTACAGAAAACTGAAAAAAAAAGCCTATATTTCAAATAACCATCCCTCCTACATCCAAACAGGGAAATATCTATGTGTTGTAAAGAAAGGCTGTTATTTGCAAATAGAAAGAAGATATTGAAAATAGTGAGTTAAAGGGCCAGAAGGCATGAAGTAGGTATGATACCTAGTTAAAAGAATAACTAATGAGATAAGAGGAAGTTTCTGAGAAGAAAGCCTCTGACTAATAGGGATGGCTAGAGATGTTTTAAAATAAGATAAAAAGTTTGTTTGTAAAATGAGCCAGTGTGGCCTTTTGTGCCATTACATTCTAGCGTTATTTCAAAATGTAGGGCCTACTCATGTGCAGAAGAAAAGCTGTTGGTCAGCAAGAAGGGAGGGAATGTCTACACTTGCCCCCTAGTTCAAACTAGGGAGACAAATGAAGCATACCAAAGTCGCTAATGAAGCGTGGGATTTAAATATCCCACGCTTGATTAGCATATTCGCATCCGGTTGCCATTTTAAATTGCTGGTAGCTCGAATTAACTTGCCGCATGTAGAAGTGGCAGTCCGATCCAAAACCCTTCCCTCCAATTAACTGTTACTCCTCATTGCAAGAGGAGTAACAGTTAATTCGAGGGAAGGATTTCGGATCAGACTACCACGTCTACGTGCGGTGAGTTAATTCGGACTACCGGCATTTTAAAATGGCGACTGGACGTGAATATGCTAATCAAGCGCAGGATATTTAAATCCCACGCTTCATTAGCGACCTCGGTATGCTACATTTGCCTCCCTAGTTCGAACTAGGGGGCAAGTGTAGACATACCCGGAGGGAGGAAAGACCTTCAATAGAAAAGAGATTGTAAACCTTATCTGGATTGAGATTGGAAATAAGGGTGAACTCTCTCAAATTTGTTTGTAGTGGAAGTCAGTATGGCAATGACATAAAGGGTATAATGACATAAAGGGTATAAATAGTGTAATACCTGCCTGATCAAGTTAGAGTTGACCAATATGATGTAAGCACCCATGGTTTTAGTTCATAAAAAATAGTATAAAATACTATTTGGCCTTTAAACTTAGTGAAGGGATTTATGGTTAAATTGTTGTCCGGTATTTTTTCCCATATCAATATTAATACCTTCCAATATTATTAATATTTACAACACTCCTTTTTTTGTAAACAGTCAATATGTTAGTGACTTTCCAAACTGCGGAAGGAGAGGTGAAAATGTGGAGATGTGTCTGTGTGTCTGTGTTAAGGAAATATTGCCTATGTTCATTAATATCTCTGCAATATTGAATTTTAGTGCCATTAGAACTCTCAGATGAATACCATCTGGTCCTGAGAAAGTACTGTATTTGAATTTTTCATGTTGTTCTTTAGCTTTTCCCTTAGAGACTTCAGTCTCCATTATTACTTTAATTCCCTACTTCATAGATACTTTTCATAAAAAATGACAGTCAAATTGAAATAAATACATATACAGATAGAAATTTTAAAGGCAAAAGGATTGTAAAGGAAAAGCAAAACGAAAAACTACGTAGCACTTTAAAGACTAACAAGATAGTTTACTAGGTGATGAGCTTTCATGGGCCAGACCTGAAAGTTCACCTATTAAACCATCTTGTTAGTCTTTAAAGTGCTACATAGTTTTTCCTTTTGTTTTTGCAAGATCTGACTAACACAGCTACCTCTCTATTACTTGTAAAGGAAAAGAACATTACTTCTATATTTGGTTACTAACTATATTTTTTGTATCTTTTATCCCTTTAGTTTTCTAAAAACCATACTGTATGACTATTTCTTACATTTACATAATACTTATATACACATAGCATATTAAAATTAATTAGCCTGACATCTTAGATTCATGATCTGCATACCATCTCTTCAAGCTTTTCATTTAAATTTGTCTGGCATAGATTGTGACTTATTATGACATATTTATTCTGTGCTATTTGAACTGTTTTATTTACCTTTTAAATAATGATTTTTTTTATCACTTCAGCATCAAGATTTTTTTTTTTACATAATTGTAGCAACTAGGAAGCTAAATGCATGCACATGACCTTGGAAATTCAGAACATCTAGAGAACCATTGGAAAGTAATGAAGAGAATATTGTTCACTCCTTTACAGTTTCTTTTTAAAACTAGCTGATTGACATAATTATTTACATTTTAATTGGCTACTAATGATGGAACAAACATGTACATTAAAATATCCTACCTCCATGCTCTTGTGCCTTGTCACAGTAGAGACAAAAAAAGTTAAGCTCAGATTCTCAGGTATTTTAGCACCTAACTCCATTTCAATGGAAGTTGGGTGTCTAAATGCCTTTGAAGTGGTAAGCTTTACTTCCAGCAGAGTTCTCATAGCAGTTCTTTTCTTTTTAATTGCACAATATGCTCTGGACTTTATAATTCCATCTGCACCAAGGGACTTTGAAATCCAAGATTGCTCCCTAACTGCTTCTATATCCGGAAACCCACAACCTTGTGTCTGTTCTGTGGATTGGATGAAGCTTTTCTTTTCCAGCTACTTACAGTTAACATGTTGAGAGAAAGATATAAGAGTACAAATAAAGGGATACACTCAGTAAAATGAAGTGAGCATAGCAGTCTTTAATCCTTACTCGTTTGATTTTTGTGATGATCCAAGAAGTACTTGGTAAACAATCTAAATCAAGAAAATAACAAAGAAGGGCTCTGTTGCAACGGACTATTAACTCTTTAAGATGAGTTTGGATGGTAAGTGTCTCAAAGGATTGGCAATATTGTTTGGTGGAGAGGCTGCTGGACTAAATCCTAGGAGACCAAGGTTCCGTAACCAGCTAAGTTGCTGATCAGCTGTATGACCTTGGGCAGTCATTGTCCTAATCTTTGTCTTTGTCTCCCTTCTTCTCCTTTGTCTTGTCTTGGCTAAGTGTTTCAAACTCTTGAGGGTATTTCAAACAATGAGGGCCTGACTTCAGTTGGGATCTGTAAGTGCTACTATAACACAAATTTTTTGTATTCATAACTAGCCTTTCAACATACTTCAAAATTTTAGCTAAACTTGAAATAGATTTGGAGTTTTGTAGATATTGAAGGAGATAGGGGACAATCTTGGAATGCAGGACTATGATGCAATTGGAGATTTAACATCCAGAGCATGTTTTGCAATTAAAAAAGTTCAGAAAGATACAAAGGAGTCTGATGCGTTCCTTTCGAATCAGCTGTGAGGGCTTTTTAGTCTCATACAGAAGATGAGATCTAGGTGGTATGGAAGGCTGTGACACTGATAAACCATCCTCAATGATAAAAAGCATACAAGATGTGTCCTACCAGGCCACCTGTGAAAACACCAAAAAGGAAATCCTGTCCCCAGTGAAATGAATGGGAATTATCCCATTAACTTCATGAGGGCCCTGAGTTAATTCCACATGTTTAAGGGTTACCAAGTAACCTTTCATACATGAAGCTAAGACCCTGATGAAAAAGGAACGTAGCAAGCTTCCCCAAACTTCAAGAACAGAGCAGAGAAGGTAGGTGATAATAGATAAACATAATCATTTGGAGAAGTCAGAAGCTGTTTGACTTTAGATGTTTGACTAAACCAAACCCAAATTCCAAATCATTTGTAATTCATCACCAATTAGCAGGCTTAGCCTTCTGGTTTATGACGTTATAATAAATGATGATAAAATAGAGTAACTACCACATGGAATGCACTGACAAAATAAATAGAAAGCAAAGTCCCTTTCCTAATTCAGACAAGCCTGGTACACAGAATTAATAGGATAAGGGTTATTAGGCATGAAGGAACAGTAAGAGGGAGCAAGCGCATAAGACTTTGGCAATGAAAAATGCACTATTAAGTGCATTAGCTTTCCAGACAGGAAGTCTAGGGATAGCCTTTCTTGTAAAAATCCATGTACTATCACACAGAGTCAGTTGGAATTGGCCACTAACTAAAAAACAAATAAACAAGGATTTCTTTAAAGCATGTTGCTGTTACTTCATGTTACTGAATAATAGAAAGGCTACTATGTTTTGTACAAGACAGGAGGTTATTTAATTGTTATTTTCCCACCATGTCACATAACATGATTTCCATTTCCCCCTAACAATGTTAACTTAATTACTTGCTTCATTAAAATATGTGTATGTATAAAATTAGAAAATACCCTACTATTATTTATTTGAAGTCTACCTAGAGTTGGTGGTTCTGATGATTGGTTACCAACAAATTTAAACCTCTGACAGATATCACATATCATATCAATAAATAAAAACTCATACATATCAGATATGTTAATTAACTGATATTGTTTATAGAAATTATTTTTTAACTTTATAATTCTCTGGGACTTATATAATATTTATCTTTGTGTTTGTTGCTTCTATAATGTTATGGTTCATTTAATAGTTCTTTTTCTTATTCCAGTACTC